TGCAGTCAGCTGAGACTGAAGACGTCACTTGGATGAGTGACGAAACGTTTCTTTGTCCAGATGAACAGAATCAACTTTTTGGGATTTCCTTGCCTGGATGATTGAGCATCTACATGGAACCACAGTAGGCCAGGTGTAAAGATCCCTTTATGAAATATTGAAAACTCTGACTTTAGTCTCAGTGTACTTCAAGAATCTATTCATTTTTCTTCATGTCTACATCAGATGTTTTAGGATGCACGAGCAAGTAGCAAAGTTTTGAATTTCAAGTTAGCAAGTTTCAAGTTTTTTGTTTTGTTCCCATGGGTGTTATCTCCACTGTGATTGGCTCAATTTATTTTTTATTTGTCCAGTTTATTAGCAAGATTGCTCAAGAAGTTGTGTGTGGGTGGATGGTATCCAGAGCTCGGCCCACCATCATGAACTTTTAGAGTTGTTTCAGACCGGGATCCAGAAGCAGGAATCTTGAAGGAAAAATTTAATATTTTTTTATCCCTCCTTTCATCCTTTGAGGTGAAATATCTACTACTAACCCAAATATGATTCTGAATCGAGGGTGTAGAGAGACTTTCCAGCCTTGGTGGAGGTATGTGTCTGTTGTTGTTTGTTGAACAGCTGCTGAAACTAATGGAAAAGCTGAGAACATGAGTGTGTGGCTCAGTGAGGACACAGTCCTGCAGTGGATTATTTAGAAAAAGAGAGCAGGCTATAATTGGTCGCATGTTTTATTTCCTTTGTGTGACTGGCAGTAAATTGTCGAGTGGACGGATTTTAAATGGCCTTTAAATAACGAGTGTTTGTTTGAGACGTTAATGCAGAAATATAAAATCACATCATGGACGCTGCTGCACCAGCTGGCCACACACACGGCCGTTCTCCTATCTTTGCGAGGACCCTCAGGCACACACTGCACTCCTGGGACACTCGGGGCCCGGATTATACTGGGTTGCGGATGCACACACGGACAGCTGCAGGCACAACGGACGGGTGGTTGCTCTTATTATATGCACTTTCTGGTCTGCTTGGAGAACGCGTTACTTATATGCAGAGTTGGGTGGCGGCAATGCAGACAAGTCTACACAACAACAGCGACAATGTGAAGTTCGCAGACAACCGCACAAAAGCCCGATGACTTAATTTAGCCCACGAGTGCGGAAAGTGTGACGCTTTTGTAACCCTGAGCGTAAACCTGCTTCTGCTCCACGGATCTGAACCCTGAGTGGCCCTTTGAGGCCCGTCCCAGAGTGAGGCCTGAACAAAATGTCCCCACAAAGATAGGTAGTAGCTAATCCTGGGGTACGGCTGTGTGTGTTTCTCTTTGTGTGTTTGATTGATGTGATCGGTGTGTGTGTGTGTGTTCAGTAGTGCGTGTGACCCTAAGTATGCGTGTGTGATTAATATTACATGAGGGCTCCTGATGAGAGGTGGACAAACACTCCCAGCTGAGCTCTAACACACACACACACACACACACACACACACACAAATACACACACATGAGTATATCGTCTCACACACACACACACACACACACATGACACACACCACACCATCACGACACACACACACACACACACACACAACACCACTCACACACACACACACACACACACACTGAGTCACTTGAGGTCACACACATGTTTTACCAGCAGAGTGTGTGTCACAGATAAGATGACGGCGATAACAGACACACACACACTCGCGCACGCACCAAGTCTTCACGCTGTCTTCACATCACATTAAACAGTCGGTGGTTACCATGACGACCTGAACACTTTGGGATTCTCACCTGCTGTGACCTGTCAGCTGTGAACCAATCAGGCGACAGAAAACAGAAACTTTCACTCACCTTAGCAGAGACGGTTAGTGTCGAGCCCGAGCCAATCTGATAACGTGAGTCTGCTCGTTGCTCTGCTGCTGGATTTCATTTCTGTGTGGCACAAAAAACCTGACAAAGGAAGAGCAAAGAAGAGCAAACGACATCAAAAAGACATGAATAAGACCGACCTCGGTCCGGAGCAGGGAAATGACGAGCACCTGCTGCAATTTGAAGACTGTGAGAACATGTAGGAGACTAAGCAGCTGGTTCCCATCATGCACTGTGGCTCGCAGTGGGATTGCTGGGCCGCCCACAGCAGCAGCTGATGGAGGAGAATCAAAGAGACGCGTCGGCTGTGGGACATCCTCAGAGAGACGTCCTCAGAGGGACTCTGCTTTCTCTGTGAGACGCTTCATTTCGCTGCAGAGGAGGTTTTACTGAAGAAGGCGGCGTTCCCCAAGCACGCGAAATCTGAGCCCCGAGCCTGTTAATTATGACTCAAATATCTCATAACATGTATAACACGGACAGATAACGTCCGGCTGCCTGCTTTGACAGGAAGTGGCTGCAGCGTTGTCAGATTTTGGCAGCTGTATCCTGTAATCCTGCAGGTAAATTGGTTTTGATTTGTTTCCAGTTGTGAAAGGGCAGTTTTCAGACTGTCAGCGAAACATGAGGCCAACATCCTCAATCAGAGAACTGCAGGTTATATAAGCAGAACAGGAAGTTTATCTTATACCTACCACGCTCTACAAGACTTTGAAAAGACTTGCTATGGTCTGGGAAATTGTCACGTCTAAAGATAATGTGTCGGTTTTTAGTCAGAGAGAAGGCCAAGTCGGAAAAATGTACATTAATATTAGAGAAATCTGAATTTATCAGTCATTAAAGAAAAGAAAAAGACTTTATGCTCACTCTACACCTAACCATCAAAATGAGCTTCCACAAAACTGTCAGGATTTTAATGCCACGATGGAAATTTGTCTGAGACACTAAAAGTGCTTGAAAAGTTTGGTGCAAGGCAGGCATTAGTGTTAGAAATGAGAACGTATACCTCACATTGAGGCGCACACACAGCATGTTTAGATTCTGTGTTACTTCCACTTCCTGAGGATGTCATTGTGTCTGATCTCTATCCAAAATAAACCACGAGAAACCCACAGAAAGTTCTGACTCTGCCTGAGAATCTTTTAGTATTTAAGTTTTCTTCAGCATCAAAGTGAACAGAGATAGATGTCTGAAGATTCACGATGCACTTCAGATAGCAGCTGCTCGGCTTTCAGGCTAGAAAAAGTCGCTTCTGTTCAATTAAAGCAGTTCATGAGAAAACATGAACTAAAAAACAGACCAGGAGAAGCTCATCAATAATCAGTCAAATATCTGGAACACTTATTTATATAAAGTGTGTGATTCCACTGGGTTTGGTTGAGATTAGTCCGAATTGATTTAGCAGCAGATTCTCCCCAGTCCTGCTCTGTTTGCATTTTCACTTCATTTAAACTAACACAAAGTTTTGACTAAACAAGTATAATGTAATAATTTCCCACTGCATGTATTGGTGGCTGTTTGTTCCGGTTCCAACAGCAGGAACTGCCTTTGAAGAGCCTCTTTTACTGCTATTTTCGGGGCCGAACAAACGGCCTACTCTGGGGTAAGTACTTCTCTGGGCATAGAAAACTGCTGGGTGGAGGTCGACTTGGAGAAAACGATGACAAGAAGCACCAAATGTATTAGCGGTAGCATTCGTCTCCTCTTCCACTTGACTATCGACAACATAAAACTCACCATTTAGGGGGATGCAACAAACAGCAATGATGCAACTGCATCACAAAGCTGTTGCAAAATCATTTCATCATCAGTTCGATCTGATGGATCCTACTGCACAGCAGTGGAAGCATAAAGTCTAAAAGGGTCGGTTAGAGAGCAGCAGACCTCCAGGCTGAAAAGGAAACCAACACGGAAGTGGAAAAAAGAAGCTGCAGTTCCTCCAATGACCACTTGAGGCTGTTTCTAAAACCAATTAAATCCCCATAGACTCCCGTGTTAACGCTTCCGTAAAGGAGTTGTCATGTGTGCTACTGTGGGGTCTTTACCTTACAGTATAAAGCGCTTTGAGGCCAACTGTTGTGTTGATTTGCTGCTATTTAACAGTCCAACTTTCCTGCAGTGCAAAGGCACCCTCACAAAGATGGATCAGTGCCTTTCTACTCAACATGAGCACTCAAAGTGCTTCCTACTACACGTCTCATTCTCCCAATCGCACAACTCCATGCCTGAACACTTTTTCATCCATGCACACACCCCAATAGATGCACTGGGGACATCTCAGGGTTTGGTATCTTACCTGAGGATACTTCAACATGTGGACCGGGGTAGCCGGAGTAGCTTAACCACACGAGCCACAGCCGTCTCGATAACCGCGTGTAAATAAAACTTAAACCACTTTAAAAATACTCAGAACTCTCGTTTGTGTGAGAAACGTTGAGCTTTGCTGGTCGGTTTCCTTTCAGGTGTAGCAATTATTTTTCATTCTCATAAACTCAGATGCTTGTCTGACGCCTGGTCTGATCGTGTAATAATAACAGAAGTTTGCAGGTGGTGCTGCAGTATGTTGGGGCTGGATTCATGGTTGGACTCCTTCAGCCCACAGCAGCTCACACAGTTGCAGGGGTGTGGCGATACTCTGATTTACTACCTCTCGCCCTCTCTTTCTCTAACTTCACGCTTCAACCTACCTATTAAATATTAATATAAGACCACGCCCCCTCTGACACCACCTAGAAGTGTGGCAGATAAGCCCCGCCCCTTTTATTCCCAGTGGGTCTCTCTCTCTCTCTCTCTCCCCCGCTCTCTTTGAATGTCTCGCTCTCTCTCTCCCTGCTTCCTGTGAATGTCTCTCGCTCTCTCTCTCTCAGAACAATGTGTCGTTCACAATAATGGGATTACAGCCATCTAGCCGGCTGCTCTCCCTCCCTCCCTCTCTCTCTCTCTCCTGTCATCCCCTCTCTCTCTCCATCTGTCTGTTGGTAGTCCTGCGTCCTCCCTCTCTCCCCCTCTCTCTCGCCCGGTGTTCAGGCTCTTTCAGTTCTTGTCGCCTCTTTAATTTTAATTTTCTGGAGGAATGAAAGAAAAACGGACTGTTTCCTGAAAGAAGTAAGTGCCCGTTTCTCTCCCCCTCTCTCACTCCGTCCTCGCTGTGCGCTCCTCTCGCTCGTAGAGGAGGCTTTGATTGACAGCTGACTCTCCTTAATTGCGCCGTTATTTAATTAGTGGAGCAGGAATCAGATCAGTGGCACAGAGCCGTGGACTCTGACCGTCGCTTTCTCTCGCTGTGCGCAGAAGTTTCCCGCAGCTGTGTTTCTTTTGCTCTGAAATGTGTCGCTGACTGTTGAATTCTGTTTTCACGCTGGTTTTATTCCGTGGTAGTGCAGTCACGGCTTCAGTAAAGTGTTCAGAGTGATGAACTTCAGACATGTCAAACAAGAAAGAAAAGAAGCTACAAACGTGAAGCATCTCCCTGTAAACATCTTTTTGTGTCTTCCTCCTGCTGCTGGCAGTTTATTCAGCGCTGTGCGCATAAAGGTGCAGCCGCTGTGTCAAGCTCTGTGACAAAGCTGCCGCTGTTTGAGGGCTTTATTCAATTAAGATGTGGAAGAATTTCCCACGAAAACCCTCCCCTCCACTTAAAAATGTGCCAACCCGAGGATGCACGAGTCCATGTAATGCTGAAATCTGTGTGCTTCTTTGCAGCAGAGACTCATGGTCATGGTCTGTGTCTGAAGTCTCATTTGGGACAAAAATGTTTGACGTGAAACAGATAAAAACTCACCGACAGTGAAATAAAATGGAAACAGTAGATCCTGCAGTTTGAAATGAAAAGTGTCCCCCGTGTGCAGTGATCGGTAACTTAACCCTTCATTATTGTGTCTGAGTTGTGTTGTTTCCTTTGAAAGCTGCTTGACAATGTACACTGTAGAAGAAGTGCGGCGGGTCTCCATCTATCCATCCATTCACCCATCTGTTAGCTCTGCCTGCTTTATCCTTTGGAGAGAGGCAGGGGGGCTGCAGCCTTTTGCAGCTGACATTAAGCGAGAGGTGGGGTTCACCCTGGACAGGTCACCGGTCGATCACAGGGCAAAAATGCAGCATTGCTGCAAAAGTACAACACTGTGCAGTAAAACCCTGGAAATCTTTATTCAGAACAAAATATTTTACAGTAAATTACAAGTAAAACATCAAATTCAGGATGAAGCAGCATTTCAAAGCAAGCAGTCAAAAATGGACCCGCCCCAACCTGTTAGTACAAGTGTCACAGGATTTAAACGCAGTCAGTTTTACCTGAATGCATAGAAACTGGACGTCTATGAACTGTCAGCTCAGTCTGACTCACACACTGCTGTTGTTTCAAAGCCCCTGCCACTTCTCAAAGCAGTTTAGATTGAGTGAAACAGGCCCGTCACTCACAGCTCATCACATGTGGACACTTCTAAAGCATCACGTTAAACGCTCTTGGTGGCTGTCATCATTTAACCTACATGACAAATGCTGCGAAGGGTCTTATTTTAGCCCAAGCATTGAAAGCTGCAGCAACTTTTAAGTTTTCGTTTTGACGGCTGCGTTTGGGCTGCCGGTTATAACATATATATATTTTAAATAGTGAGGGCAGACAAACCAAAAAGCAACCAACACGCGTGGCATCTTGCGAGCATCGTCCCTCTCAGTGAGGAGTGTCCAAATGTAAAACGTGGGTGGCAAGCCAGCGGTGCTTTCCAAAGCCTCAGAAAGTTTGTGTCTGATTCTCAGCTGTGAGTAAAAGTGAAACACATTTGTGGGTAAAAACAAGATCAAAACAAAAACATGCAAGTTATCCACTCCTGACAGGCAGACTTATGTCACACTCGCCCCTCTATGTGTGAACACCGCACAGTGCAGCGTTCACACGGGGACGTGAACGCTGCTCCAAACCTGCTGAACAACAGCAAAGCTTCTCGTACCGTCTTATGAAGCGCTTTAATTAAACTGAACCAGCTCGTGACGTGGACCTGCAGGGCCCCGAGAGAGACACACAGAGCCGGACAATAAAACCTCGAGTTAATAACTGAATAAAACTGTCTGTTTCTCAAAGGATCCTTTAACATCTTTACAAATGAAGGTCAGTTAACCAGCTTTATGGGCTCATTAGACAATAACAGCCCCGCCCTGTGTGGCAAAAACAGCAGAAGCAATGAATCAAAGAATAATTAACCATATTGTCTGATCGGTCTTGTCACGTTCTTTGCTGGGGTGTGATTTTTGAGGCGAAAGGTTGCAGAGTTTGGCAGAATAATTAATTAAAGCTAATTAAGTTTTGATGATGTCGCCTGATTTGGGTGTTTAAAAAACTCCTTTTTATCTTTTTATCTCATGAATAAAGTTTAATGAATTCTGATCAGTGAATGTACAATCCTTCTTTTCATGTGTGTGTGTGTGTTATGCTGTGTGAAACCCTCCTGTGTTTATATATTTCATTATTATTGATGCGTCAGTAATAAAGTAGCTGGAGGGGCAGATTTTAATAGCTCTACAGTGAAATCACATTCAAACTGCAGTTTAGTTTAATAAATCTTTATATTTTATTATCTCATTGTAGTTATTGTTTGTAAACTATTAGGTTGCACAGCAATAACTGAGAGCAGTGTGATGGGATAAATATTAAACGCGCTCTTTGAATGAAGTGCAGCGTTTTAATGCCCTTAATGAGTTTTCATGGTGGCTGAATGCGTCACAGCTGGAGATTCAGACTGGAAGCAGCAACAATTAATTGATTAAATGGGAAAATAATCTGCAGATTGTTTGCAGATGTTGAAGCGAACTCGCCGGAGTTCGGTTTTCTCTGCCGTCTGCAACACGCATGCACGACTGTCTGCAGCGTTTGCCTCGTCTGTCAGTTCAGACAGAGGCTGAACCATCAGGACATTTCAGTGAGTCACTGAGGAAACTTTGAGCTCCGCCAGGAAACACAGTCGAGTGCTCTGAAGGTGTGATGCTGCCGTTGCAGAAAAATTTCCTGCAGCATCAGAAATGTGTCACATCTGAAGTATTTGGGCTTCCTGTGTTAACAGAGTGACATTTCTCGGTATGTAACATGCTCTGTGGTTTGATCATCTCACTCCAATGTTCTAAGCACCTGTCACGAACCTGACCGCTTTGTGTCCACGTAAACGTGCCTGAAGTATCCAACCATTTCCAAGAATATAATGTCTCACTAGTGAATCAGGTCATAGAGGAGGAAACATCCCAAGTTTCAGGAGACTTGGGTTCAAATCTGGTTTGGGACAGTTTTTTTAAAAGCTCGGTCTTCATCCGTGTCCTCTTGATCAGGTTAGGAAAACATCAGGCAGCCTTTTAAAAGGTTAAAAGCTTTTGAAAGCTTGAAAGCTGTTTGAAAGCTTTATTTCTGAGAATATGTCACGGGGCTAGGTTTGGATTAGAGCGGTGGTGTTTAAACTGGGAAGTGAAGACGCTGCAGGTCGTGTGCAAACAATTAGGTTAATAACACGAAGTGAAGATAAAGTGAATTTGATGTTTTTGGTGAGAGAGGGTCATAGCTTCTGCAAAAATAAAGGTGACGTGTATTTATATAAAGCTCTACTTGGATTTTTGTATGACTGATTAAGTGGAAAGACAAACAAAGCATGAGGTGTGATACAAGGACTATTTTCAGCATGCCAGAGGAAACCACAGGGTTAGCGATTAATTCTGTCCCATCTAAAGGTGGTGAAACTGAAGCACTTGTTACATGCGCTCACATTGCTGCACAAACAACATGCAGAGCTGCCGTTTGTCAGTAAATCATCCAGGTTTGCAAAAAGAATTTAACTTGAGCCATTTTCACACATTAACCTTGTGGAGATCCCTCTTCTCACACGTAGCACGCAGTGGGACGCAGCCCACCTCTAATGCATGTTCATAGTATAAAAATGCTGGGAGCTGCTGGGATGGAGTGTGCAGGTCGTGTTGCACTCATTTACCTGTGTTATTCTCACACCGGTGCATTCAGGTGTGATGGGGAATGTGTGCTAGAGAATTGGCAGGTTGAGGACAATTTAACTTCTGCACTGACAGACTGTATGTGGTTCAGGTGATGGAGCAGCCTGGATGGAGGCAGACACCAGCCTTTAATAGGGAGTGCACTGGAATTAGTTCCACTGTTTGCACATCTGTGGCTTTGAACAACGCACGGTCTTTGTGCCAGCGAGCTGGCAGGTTACGTTTATGTTCTTTGTCCAGAGTAGTTTTGAGCTGAAGCACATGTTTGAACGAATGAATGCTGAGTTTGGATTTCTCTGCTCTCGACATACAGTTTAACGGATGCTGTCTCTGTAAATAACAAATTTGTTGGCTGCTGTCAGGTGACACAGCCAGCTGTTGCTTGGACGAGGGCACGTTCTAGGATGAATCTTTGACTAGCGGTGGCATGACAACCGAAAGGTCGTGTTAGTTATGCACGTATGAAAATATTATAAATATTTGTTCTTTTTGTACACTTTAGACTTAGTTTACAGACTCTCATTACCTCCGTGCACCTGTTCTATGAGTTTAATTATCTTGCCACAGATAGTATAGTAATATAATCTGAATTTGACTGACAGCTTTATTGCTTTTTTTTTTTTATTTATAGCTGCAATAATGCCAAAACCATGATAATCATGAAGGGAAATCCTGATTCTGTTAGTGTCATTTTAAGCCAACAGAAACAGCCTGTTTCTGCCATGTTTTCTGATTCCCTTTTGCACTGTTTGAGCTGCGATTGGAGTCATTTTAATGACCTCGACCGCGTGGGTTCTTCGGTGGTTCTGTGGTGAATTTTCTCCACCTGCTGCTCACCCGTCCCGCCATCAGCCGCAGTGCATGGAAACGAGCATTCAGTCAGAATTTTCTTTTGAACGTTTTCTAGAAGTTCAGCTGTTTTTTGGTGGAAGGCTAACCGTCTGATGTGTCGGCCTGAATGTGTCGGCGTGCGTCTCTGTGGGCGACCGCATCCAGTTTAAATGTTAATGACTTGAATCGGTTCTCTGTAAGGGGACAGATCAACCAATCAGATCGGTGCTGTGGTCCACATGATGCTGCAGTACGGGCCTTTTGTTCTGTGGTTACCTGTTTGTGCCGAAGTCTGGCACCTGACATCTTTGCATTCCTGCTCTGAGACTCTGAGAGATGCAGATGTGTGCAGCACAGACGGTGACGGAGACACTTTACTGTTTCATCGCTGACAGTCTCTGATCATTTTCTTCTGTTATGAATGAACCAAAGAGAAAAACAGCCCGAAGCAGCTGGATTCTGGCCGATGGTCGGCGCATTCGCCTGTGCTCTGGCAGCAAAGACCCAGTTTTTGATGAAACTCAGTGTTTGAAGCACATCTACCGATTACTTAAAGCAGAACTTTGAGTCTGTGGCTGCTGATACAAATTTCATTTTGAAGTGTTTGAGTCTCATTGAAAACAATTCAGTCTTTTCTCATGAACTTCTCTAACCTGAGTTCTGCTCACAAATGAAGCCAGTGCTTAAAAAGAGCTGCAGTTCCTCCAATGACCACTTGAAGCTGGCTCCAAAACTAAGTCCCTCCCCTTAGACTCTAATGTTAAACTGCACAGCAGAAATAAACATTTACAGCCTGATACAAAAATGGTTTTAGGCTTTTAGGCTTTGGATGCAACTGTTTTATAACCCAGAGAGTTTAGATTGCATTAATGCCTAAAGTTTCATAATTACAGACTGAACTCAACCAATCCACTGTGTTTGTAATATGAAGGCCTTTTGGAGCATTTTTAATTCAATTATCTGAAGAATATTCCATTGAGTGCGGTGAATTATGAATATCATTAAAAAGTCTGTGCAAAAGTTCTGCACGTTCAGGACTAATTAACTGTGTGATGACCTCACACAGACAATGGAAGCACCTCAGTTATGAAGTGCATTAGCCAAAAAACAACACAAGCATAATCACCACCTGAATTTCCACCGATCTGCTATCTGCTCTGCTTTGTGTGAGGAAGTAAAATGTTTTAAATTCCTGTTCCAGATATCTGCTGGTGGGGAAACTTCTGTGAAAGCAGACCTACCACTTATTCTGCACAGGGAGAAACCAAATTACATAAAAGCCACCTGAGGGAGAACTCTAGCGTAGCTAACTAAAGCTACTCAGATAAAGGTGATCTAAACTAGTTTGTAAAAAAAAAAAAAGATCAGTCTTTGCAGTGCAGAGTGTGTTTTACTCTCGGCTTTCGTTGCTCGCACACGAACAAAGGACTTGTTGGTGACTTTTGTGGCGATGCTTTTTTTAGGTTGAGATGCAGGAGATGTATGGCATTGTTGCTGTGTGAATGCTGGGTAACGCCCGCTCTTTTCCCCCGTGGACTCCGGTGAAGTTAAAGTCTGTGGTGGCGGCTGACTGATGAATGATTGCATGCCTTTACAGTGGTCAGGATGAAAGGAGAAGGGAGTGAGGCAACAGAGGAGCACTGTAAAATGAGTTAACACAGCATTCCTCTCTTTCCGTGCTCCTTATTCAATAGTTAACTTCAACAAAAATGCTAAAAAAGTCATCTAAATACCTGAGGGATGATTGCGATTGTAGCTGAAAGCTCAGCAAGATGCAGTGAAATGTAGTTCAACTACGGGTTTAATTACATTTCTCTGACTACTCCCCAACAGTACAGCTACCACAGTCGGGGGTTATATAAGAGCAACTGAAACGATGATATATTAAAAATAAAGCTGCCATTGGAGCAGACAGAAGAGGGGGAACAGTGTGACATAAAAAAGCAATAAAAACGGATCTAATGAGCAGTTCAGACAAGACTAGGTCTAATGTAATGGTTATGGAGATGTTAAAGGAGAGAATGTGACTATAAAAATCATAAAAGCGGTGAACTTGCAGCCATTAATGTGTTTTATCTTCATTTTATTTTCATATTCCTTCTTATATATATATATATTGCACGAGTGACTTCAACACTGGAGTCACTCATGCATTCAGAAATTCAATTAGGTTGTTAGAGGAAATCTGTGCTCCACGAGGCTCGTTGGCTTTAGTCGTCCTCCGGTGCGGGAGGAGATGATGGAGGTCCAGTTGTCTCCTCTCGTCCTGATCTTCTTGTTTCTGTGGGGAATCAAACAGATTGCTAAATAAAGGAATCTCCTCCCTTTGCTTTTCCCCCCCATGTTTATTAGAGTTCAGATCTCCCCCCCTCCTCTTTCTCCTCCTCCTCTCTGTTATTACAGTATTTTTGTCATTTACTGCCCCCCTCTGCCTCCCACACCCCCCTTCAAAGCCTTGTTTTAATCTTGTAAAAAATTCTTCTCTCATAAACACATAATGAAGCTGGTTCACGCCTGTTAGCTACAGAGGGAGGGGCGGCAGGCAGCAGAGACAGCAGCTGTAAAACACAGTCAGGGTTTCGGTTTTAATATAACTGCACCTCCTCCTTTTTCTCCTCTACACGTCTCCACCCTGATGCAGGAAAATGTAGCCCTCATTTTTTCTCCCCTGTTTGCGCCTCGGTAGTTTGAATCTGCTGATGCGTCACTTTCATGCTCGCACTGGATTATCGGTGTCAGCGGCGACGCTCTGAGGTCGACTTCCTGTTTCATTCCCGTTTTAACCATTTCTCCGTCCAGCTGTTGTCTTCTTCTGCTCGTCTTTGTGTTTGTTGTCATGACAACTGAATCTGGACCAACGTGCGATTTAATAGAGGGTCTCAGTGCCGCAGCTGAGGAGTTATTATTACCGGCAGCAGTTATGGGGGCTGAATAGATGACTTGTTGAGATGATGCCCCGGGTCCAGGTGAGGCTCTGGGGTGAATTCAGGTCCAGGGTTCAGAATAAGACACTTTCACCAGATTTAAACATGACTTTGTTTCCCTCTTCTTTGTCAACCCCAAACACTAAATCACTGTATCTCAGAAAGACCCCCGATCCTCAGCTGGGCTCGTATTGTGAGAGGGGTAGGACTACCTTAAACAATTATCATTTAATCCATTGATACTGGACATATTTGTTTTCAGCATTCTGGTCTAAAGGCAAACACCTGGTCCTCAGCTGGGATTGGGTCCAGGAGGGAGTCTAATAGCCTGGGGGCCAGAATTAGATCTGATGGAGGGGCTGGTCCCGGTGGACCCCAACCAGCAGAGCGGTGGACAGTCCAACAAAACAGCCTCGGGGGCTGAGAAACAGAAGAGCCCAAAACTGCAGTTCCTCTAACGGCCACTTGAGACTTCAAACTGATTAGATCCCCACAGACTCCTGTGTTAAATGGGCAAATTTACAGCAGAGAACACATGTTTACGGTCTGGCACAAAAATGGTTCAGGCCTCTTTGGCTAAGCTTGCCTTTCAAAGGAACTGAGGGAGATTGTTTTATTACAATTTTTAATAAGGCTTAAAGAAAGGGGAGTGGCCACTTTGAGTGACAGGAAGCTGTAGCTGACTTTACCTTAGCGCCATTGGTTCACTGAATGTTTGTGCTGAACGGGGGGAAGATGGCAAATCTGACAAATAATATGGTGTGATGTGTGGTTAATTGTACTAATAATTCAAAAATGAAGAAAAGGTTTAAGTTTTGGTGTCTGTGTGATGTGTCCATACATCCATAAACATGAATCAACTGGGAGATTGGAGCTAGAGTTTCATTATGGACTCATTTTAAGAATCATTTTCATTTTTTGTTAAATTTAGGTACAAAAACAACTTTAACCTTTAATGTTAAGCATTATTAAGATCATGATTGTGGTTGAAATGCCCCCTTTTACAATGTTAAATACATGTTAATAGATTTCCTTTTTTAGGTTTCCAGGGTGCTGAGTACTTCCTTCTTTTGGCTTTAGGGGTCACCACAGAGGATCATCTGCCTCACCTTATCCCAAACCTGTCACACCAACCTCTGCATGTCCTTGTTCGCTACGTCCATGAACAATCTCTGTAGTTCTCTTTTCCTCCTGCCTGGCAGCTCCATCTTCAGCACTCTTTGTCCCATATATCCTCTATCCCTCCTCTGCACATGTCCAAAACATCTCTTACCTCTCTACCACCTCATTTAGAAGTGGTGATACCAGTGCACATTATACATTTTACAAGTACTCACATGGCTGCTAGGGGTTGCTTCTAACACCCAAATGCTAATATTAGGGCTTAAAACAGGACTTCACTCTCTAGAGAGTGACACTGTGTAGAGTTTAAAGGATGGTCTTATGTTGTGGAGGATTACGATTGCATAAAAAGGCACTCTTGGAGAACGATTATTTGTTTACATCATTTGTGCTCATGGTTTCTGTTCTGAAGGCTGCATCCTGTCAGGGGTGCCGACAGGGACTGGAAGTGTTACTCTGGCTCACTGAGGTGTGTTAACAGCCTCTCAGTGTAGCTGTGATGGACCCGCGAGCCGAGGAGGTGTAGGTAAATCCTGTCATGTGATCTCCTGCTGATCAGAACCACTTACATAGTCTGCTAATTGGAGAGGAGGCTGGAGCGATAATATATTCACACACATACCCACACACACAGACACGGATGCAGAAACACACACAGAAACACACATACTTGCACTTAGAGTGATGGAATTAGCATCAATATCATTAACGCCCATCACCTCCCTGCACTTGTTCACACATTTACCCTCAAACACACACACATCTGTGTGTGTGTGTGTGTGTTATAGTTTGAGTATCAAAGTCTTGTAGTTATTAATATTTAATGTTTGCAGTGATCAGTATTCAGTTTGTGGAGGAGAACAGGCTGCTGCTGCTGTGGCTGCAGAGGACTGCACTGAAATACAGTAGAAACAATTACAGTAGAGTACAATAGAGTACAGTACAGTGTAGCAGAGCACAGTGTGAGATGAAAACTGTGAAATGAACAAATTTAAAGATTTTATGCTGCGGTGGAAAACCAAGTAGAGACCCCCAAACATCAGTGCAGAAAGGGAGCAGTAGAAACGATTTGATGTGTGTTTGAGGCCGAGTGGATTTATTCTGTCTGTGCAGAAGAAGAAACTCCTCTGCTGATCTTTCTGAGCTTTGGACGGAGCAATCCCTTTTACTTTTGTCCTGCTGTCAGTGCAGCGGCGACCTTTCACCTTCAGTTAACATTTTGCTGCATGGCCACTTTTTTAAAATATTTATGTTCAGCAGGAAAAAATGCAAGTATCTGATTACAAAAATCTATTGACAGCACAAGCACAGTTGTTGCTTTTACTCAGCACAGATGACTTCTGAGGCCTCAACGTTTGGCGCTCACTGTGAAACCCAATAAGTAGGCAGAAAATTTAAGAGGGTAACTGAGGTCCAGTGCTACACCTTTGAATAACCGTTATGTCCCCACAGTTAGGGTTAGGTTGGAGTAGTAGGAGCCTAACCTTGACCTTTAACCCTACAACTAAACCAGTTTATCCACCAAGTTATTTGTAACCTGGTGGATGTGATGAATAAAGAAATATATATATTTTTTAGAATAGAAGTCTGTGGATTTGTTTTTTCTTTCAGTTACTCTGAGTTAGTTTAGGTTCATCCGCAATGCACAAACACAACCAGAAAAAGCTGCTGACACGATACAGATTTCAGTGGCTCATAGTCAAGCAGAGTTAAGACTGCTTCCAGAGACAGTGGCCAACTGCAGCCACAAGATGGCAAAAATTTAAAGGTATAATGCAAACAAGCCAGAAGCTTTAAGACAGAACACTGTGTTAGATGCAAGTAGAGAAATTGCTTTACTTTGGTTTTAATTGATGTCTGGTTTTCGAACTTGGTAGTGCTAAATTAGAAACTAGTAATCCTTGCCTTGCTTGCCCTGAAGGAACACAACTGTTAGGTTTTAACCCTAAAATAAAGAGTTCTTGATGTGTTGCTTAGAACTATTTGCTTTATTCCCTGCAATATGGGAGAACAATAAAAAAAACTCATATATTGACAACAAAGCCGTAGGGTTGGGGGTCATCACAGATCATGACTTAGATCTCATTTTTGCCTTATTAGTTCTTAAAATATTTATGGTGAGTGATGTTTCACTTTTGACGAGCGGCAATAAAATAGCTTTACTTCAAAAGCTTCCCTTCTACAATAAGAAGGCCATCCCTCAGTGCACTTCTATCAGTGCTGACACGGCGATGAAACCAGCAACCTAATGTATTCATGGTGTCAGAGTTTTCAGAGTGTTTCTACCATGAAGGTAAAACAAACAACCTGTATGACAGCATGCAGTATTTTAGCTAACGTCTGTAATTTGCTCCTGCAGACCTGCAGCTTTGCCTACATGCTCAGTCTGGATCCTACAGCAGTAATGGACAAGCACAGAGAAAAACAGATCCACACAATAGAAATAAGCAGTAAAGTCATTTTATTGACTCAGTAGGTGTCTGAGTCAATCTACTAAATATTTAAATGTAATCAAACATAAACAGTTTAACTTGCACAGAAAGAAAGAAAACTGTAACAGGTATATCAAAATATTTAAATTACTAGAATTTTAAAATAAATGTATGTTCAGGCTACTTAGTATCTTACTGCTTTATTTACTTTGAGCATTTCCATTCACAGTGTGCTCACATACTGTGGCGGGAGTGCACTGAATGACAATAAAGTACCCGTGTACCTAAAAGCCTGAATCAAATATTTGGTGTCAATATTTGCCTTTTAAACACCTCGTGTTCAGTGCTGGCCTTCACTGACACCTATCTAAAAGCTTCTGGTTTGAAAGCACAATGAAAAGCAGTCATAACCTGCAACCCAGTCTGCACAGGTTCTTACGGGTTCCAAAAGCACTCAGAACAGAGATATTTACAGACTGCTGGACTGTTGCTTTTATGAATAAGATGTGATGCGCAGCAGAAATGTGAATTCCAAACTTGAGCTGCAGTTGTTCACAGAAACGCTACGACTCCTTTAATTCCTTCGAGTTTCAGATATTTTTAGATGGTTGTTGTTTCCCTGCAGGAGAACTGCTGTTAATCTGCTGTTATTCACATATTATTCTGATCTGGTGTCTGGGATTAAGCTGAGGAGAATCTCTAATTCTTCTTATTCTGATCTGATCCTGCTGTCAAGCGTTCGGCTCTGAGTGTGTTTACATGTGTTGTCAGTGCAAACAGGATTTAATCCAGATTAAAGACACAGAGGCAGGAATAGCTGCTCAGCAGCCTCGTCATCATCAAAAAAGACCCAGTGTGAGCTGATGATTATGTGAAAGCACACAGTTACAGTTTAAAGCCCGATGGACCATTCTTCTGTCTGTGCAAAAAAAGAGGAATTAGCTCCATTCAGATCGGATCAGAACACAACGGCCCAGAATCAAAGTGAGTCCCACTGCTGCTGAAAACAGTTCAGACGGAGACAAAGACATCTGCTGCACAAAAACTAAAGTCTGAGCTACAGTTCGGTCCTGTGTCCACATCAAGCTAACGCGATTAGCCGTGAGAAATTATCGACACACTTCTATCAAAACAGTTCTGCATGAATAGCTTGCTTGTATAAGCTACCCTGGTAGTTAGCATTGCTTTCCTCGACACAAGGATTTTCCCTCAGGTTTTTGGATTATCACAAAAAATAAGGTCTGCTTGGCATAAAGGTTTATGACACTTAAGAGACTTTATTTAGAAAGATGATCTACAGAAATTAGTCTGTTTTTGTGGATTCTGAGTGTAAATGCATTCGGCAAAATAAAACACTAATGACAAAAATAAACTACGCCACTGTCGCATGACTGTAAGGTCATTATCACTAAGCTCCTTTGTTCTGCTTAGTGATGTTCAGTGTCTGTGGCAACTTATTATCTTATCATCGTTTTATCTTATTATCTTATTTAGCCACTTGTTAGCAAATAACAAGCAAAGCTTTTACAGGGAAAATGTTGCTACCTTCCTGGGTTGTAGCACAGCGTTAGTTTAGCTGTAATGATGGGAGATCAGCGGCTCCGTGGC